GGGTTTAAGATTTTGACCATATAGTAAAATTTGGTAAATTGGTATAACGTGTAGAGATATCTATACTAATTATTGTAGTTATAGGTGAATTCCTAAAACGAAGGTTCCGTTTAACTAAAATTGATTCGCATAGAGATATAGAATTGAACTAGTTAAATAGACTCAATTAGAAGTAGAGACACAATAGGAGAATTCGACTGAACACTACATTAGATATGAATTTTGATTTAAGGTGTAAAGGTGACCAATATGTGAAAATTGTTTTGCCCTAATTATGTTCATTGTTTAATCTCTAAACCAATCTTTTTGTGCATCCACATATTGTTACGCATTTAAATTAAAACTCAAAACATACAAATATTTATTTGCTTTTGTCGAATGATAGTTAGAAAGAAAGTAGATTAACTTCTAAAGTATATTTCTTGTGGGAACGATAACTGGACTCATAGATCCATTATATTACTCGTTTGATATGGTGCACTTGTGAACTTAGCTGATGGTGGGACAGCACCAATTAATTCCATCGGTTCCTACAAATTATCTGAAGAATTGGAACTTGATGGGATGTTACCTGGGGAAATGATAAATAAAGGAATTTTGGATTGATTGGGTTAGGAATCCAAGAGTGGGTTAGGAATCCAAGAGTGTCAAAATGACATCATTGTGATTCCCAAAGAGATTTTTCAAGTATGTAAATCATTTTCTAACTACTCTATATATGTTTGTGTGTTCCTATTTATTTTTAAAGCAAACTTCTTGAAAAAAGAAGATCGAGAACAGAAGTAATACGATAAACATTATTGAATTAATAATTAATCGCTGACAATATAAAACTATTTAGAGCACAATACGTATATGTCGGAAGAAGTAAAACTGCGCTTAATTATTAGCGATGATTCTACTATTCGTTTCCTCCATAGCGCCTATTCCTTTTCTGAAATGAACTTAAGGCCCCTATGAAATCTTTTTCTTCAAAGTCAGGAAACTTTTTTTCTGGAAAGTAGACTTCTGAGTAGGCCAACTGCCACAGGAAGAAATTGTTGATTCTTTGTTCCCCACTTGTTCGTATAAGCAAATCCGGGTTCGGAAATTCCACACATTTTGTTTCAAGTTCATTCTGAAATAGGGTTTCATTTATATCTTCAACTTGAAGAAAGCCATCTTTCACTTTGCTGGCTATGCTTCTACTTGCTTTCATTATATCGTATCGTCCACTGTAGTTTAATGCCATCATAAGATGGAGTCCAGTGTTGCCTCTTGTTGTATCCTCTGCGGTGGCTATTGATTCCTGCAGTGACTTTGGAAGCTTTGATTTGTCTCCAATTACTGATATACGCACATTTTTTCTGTCAAAGTAAAGAAAATGCAAATTTTTAATTTCAAGCACAATCCCACATCAAACTGGGTGTGTTTGAGCCATATTGGGGTATGTTTGAGTTACATTTTTGAAAAGAATGAGTTTTGTAATAGTGCACTTTTGGCGATTGTGTAATTAAAAAGTAAGATTTTTTTTTGAATATAAGTGTAAAATTATTTTATTGGAAAAATGTATGATTGAAAACGAGTATTAAGAAAAATGAGTTTTTAT